TAACAGTAACAGTTTGCCAACTACTGGACAAGATATGTCAATATTAACTTAGAAGCCACAAACTTGCTTGCGAATATGCCAATGGACCAGGGTAGCTAAGCAGTAGGACAGATAAGGGTTTATGAGGGTCTTATCTATAACTGTGAATAATGAAAAATTTTCTTGTTTTTGAGAAAAATGCTTGTCTATATCACCTTTTCCAGTTTATTCTATTTCCCAAATTAGCATGAAAGTCATATTTAAACTGAGAACATCTCCTAGCCTCGCCATTTATGATATACTCGAAGTAAACTTTTGAATCAAGAGAACGGTGATCAAGCTTATTCTATGAAGAAAGAGAGTTAAAAAGTTTCTAAAAGATATAATTACATCTTGGGTTAACATAGATATTTTAACTTGTAGACAATTCGTCAAATAAGAATTTGCTGTTAGGACACAAATGAATTACAAACTGTTTGGCAATTCATCACAGAGCTAGAGAATTTATAACTTAAATATCACAGAATCCTTTACACTCCAAAAATGGGGATGGCATGGATCCCCGTTTAGAACATGTAACTGGGTAGCCTTTACTTCCTGCGAAAGCTATTTGGATTTTGATATAAAAGCTTTTCCACGGAGCATTTGGACAGCTGAATGATTGTGACCTTTGAAATCGAATTAAATCGATCCGCGGCTTACTTTTGGTCTCTAACTGTGTCTTACACAGTGGAGACGATGGGCTCGATTGCCGTATCATACTGCATTTGAACGGCGATACGGCAATTGCCGTATAGAACGTCATTATTTGTAATAACGGTTATCTTTTAAAAATCTAAACAATTCCGGACTTCAAATTGATATTTAATCATATAACATCCATAGTAAGTACAATTTTAAAGTATTTTCCATAAATAGGGGGTTTAAATTTAATGACATGAAATATTTTGTCCTAGATATCGTTTATTTCTACTCCAGTGCACAAGGGCCGATTACAACCTGAAATCCCTGAAATTGTGAAATTGCAACAGACCCTCCTTGTACTTAATTTCGGCAATATTAAATAAAGAGATGGCATGAATTTTTTTATTGATATTAGAAGAACATATATAAAATAAACTTTTCCTCGCGTGCATTTAAATTCTGCCGTGTGCAATTACTCCCGTGGGTTCTCAAAGTTTCACTTATTTTAGGCAAAAGACAAAAACGTACTTTGAGGGTTAAGGTGCTCTTCAGACATTCCAGAGGCGAGAATAACATGAAACCAGACAGGTTTTCATTTTAATTTTATCGTTTTTATAAATAACATAGTCTTCCTGCATGCATTTTGGGTTTGATTCATCCTTTACACTGACGTTTTAGGTATAAAAGTCTCGGCTTTAAGTCATTACTAGATCGCGTTCAAAGTACTAAGTACCATTCGCATTACCATTGTTCTCAGACGGACAATGCTGCCTGGATAATTTCGTCCAGCAACCAATTCGCCCAGAAACAAAACCAAGAGACGTATGTAGCAAGTGCCATTTCTAGAAACTCAGTTTAGAGTCGGGAAAGTGACTTGAGAATGCAGGAAAACTGACCAATCAGAAATGCCCGATTCCTCAGTATTTCTCAAGTGAATCTTCGATTATGGAGAAACTTTTTCACGCTCGAATTCCACCTATCTATTGCACATGGATCGCTTCAAAAGTGATACAATCGGTAAGCTGGTTTTGTCAGCTTCACTATGACATTATGCTTTTAGAAATCGACCGAGAAATGGCGGAGAAAAAGACCGAAAAGTGTCATTTCTAAAACGGCGAGTTTGGAGAGCTAAAGTGGATTGGGACTGCTAGAAAGCCAGCCAATCAGAACGCAGAATTTCTTATGTGAAACTTGGAATTCGAGAAATCGCCTTTACCTTCTATTTCCTCAGTTTTCTCGCAATTTGGTCACTACAAAGTGGAACCATCAGAAAGCTTTAGTTCCGAGCATAACCATGGTCTTATTTATTTCGAAATCTGTCAACTAATAGCAGAGTTATAGACTAATAAATGCCATTTTTTAAACAGCCAGTTTAGAGCCAGAAAGTGGATTCAGACTGCAACAACATTATGCAAATTAGCTAGACGTATCTAGGTTAGTAGCACACGTATGTGGGTTAGTAGGTTTGCTCTGTCAAGGCCGCGCATGCATCAATATATAAGCAGATCTCGGCCGTTTCAGCATACTTCATACAGGTATGAATCGTTACGTGTAGTTTCACGCAGATTGAAAAATGTTGATACATATTTGATCATTTCCATTTACTAGTATTAAGCCTCAATTCGTAATTATATTACAGCGGAAATATTACATTTTGCGTCTGAAAACCTACTTACTTCAACCTGAGACTAACATAAACAGATAAAAGGAATTTTAAACTTTATCCGAGAGTTGTATCTCCCGTGTCGCGCCACCCGCAATTTAGATATGTATAGTCAACATAGGAGGAGGAATGACATGTACATCATACAAACTTCATTCAAATACATACAGTAATAAACTCATAATTATAAAGAAATTCTTGAAACCTTTATTGCAATTGCAAATGCGCAAAGAAGACTTTATTTCATGTATTTGGTTCCGTAATACTTGTCAAACTATATGCCTTCATGCACATTAGACTGACAAGAACGTTTTTATAGCGATCTACCACGGGCAATAGATCTACTACTAAGTTTTGTTTTTTCGTGGATAATGACAAATATTCTACCATTTCCCTTTCCTTTTTAACTGAATCTTTCACAGATTTCATATCGCATAATATAATCGACAGTGTTTTGATTAAATATACTGGCCATACTAACTGACTAATAATTGATATATCTTGTTGATACTACTTGTAGGTTCAGTCTATTTTCGTAATTAAAAATCAGTGATTTAAATGCTAAACCTAATTTTGAATATTGTTTATCCAAAGTAAAATCGGTTGTCTCAGTGCGTTTGAGATATCAAACATCATACTTTCAATAGAAATAAAAATGTATTTCAAAGATCGGTGTTTCAGTCTTAAGCGCAGTATTGATTATATTTAAGTATTGCACTACGCTGGAGCCTAGAAAGTATAAAAATGACTTTTTAATTTAAACCAGCGTAAAATTGAATTTCGAATTATAATATTTGCTTGAGTCGTGTTAATAGACCTTCCAGAGGTGTTGTATTTGGGCGATAATAAAAAATAAATACTCTTAATAAAATAGACGCACGATACGGCAATTGCCGTATTATGCTTTAATAGCGCTGAGTTGCTAGACATGCGCGTTTGGAATTAAAATAAGACGATACGGCAATTGCCGTATCGTCGTTCAATTGCAATATGATACGGCAATTGAGCCCATCGTCTCCACTGTTACATCAGTATCATCAATCCGTGTAAGTATTAGAGCGCTGAAATACTTCTTTTTCGATCAAGACTTGTAAATTGTTCATCGAGTGAATGTTTTTAGACCTATTTCCAATATGGCGGTTTGCTAGGAGCATTTTACGCAACGAACGAAATGAATTGTGAGAATTGGTTAGGTTCGGACAACCTCCGGAGATTTACGAAAATGTCCGAGCAGAAAATGCCACATTGGAATTTGGCAGTAAAAACATTTACTCGACTAACAATTACAAGTCTTGATCGAAAAGGAAGTACTTCAGCGCTCCAATACTTACACGGATTGATGATACTGATGTAAGACACAGTTAGAGACCAAAAATAAGCCGCAGATCGACTTAATTTGATTTCAAAGGTCACTATTAATCAGCTGTTCACTTCCCCGTTTGAGAGCCATAAGTTTCAAAATCTAACATGGCTCTCGAAGTGAGTAAGGTAGCCTAACACCAAACTGATGTTCTAAAGCCTAAAGGATGTTCCTTGATCACCCTTGGTATACGCAGCTAACGAAAATTGACCGGTACGGGTCAAAAGCTGGACCGGTACAGGTTAACGGTTTTATTTGAATTTAAAATAGCCATAACTTGCTCAATATTGACTTCCTCTTGTCTAATTTGAAATATATGATGCCTCCTGATGCTTTTAAGGACCCCAATTTTTTACAGATTTTTAAACGGACCAAAACTCTCTAAATGCGCATTTATGCTCTTTTCTCTCGAGAACGACTGTCTCATTTTCACGATAACTTTTATTTAGTACTTCTAACATATAAGATCTATTTTTCCCCATCAATGTAAATGACATCCTTTTTACATCTTGTGAGTTTCAATGACGCGCGTTTGATTTTATAAAAAATGCCAAACTTTGTGACAAAGAATTTCATCAGCTATTGCCCCGAACCGGTCCGTCTTCTCGCTGCAAGCAGATTGCCCTGAACCGGTCCATCTTCTCGCTGCAAAAAAGCAGGATGAAATTCTTTGTCACAAAGTTTGGCATTTTTTATAAAATCAAACGTGCGTCATTGGAACTCACAAGATGTAAATAGCATGTCATTTACATCATACCTTGATGGGGAAAAATAGATCTTATATGTTAGAAGTACTAAATAAAAGTTATTGTGAAAATGAGACAGTCGTTCTCGAGAGAAAAGAGCATAAATGCGCATTTAGAGAGTTTTGGTCCGTTTAAAAATCTGTAAAAAATTGGGGTACTTAAAAGCACCGGGAGGCATCATATATTTCAAATTAGACACGAGGAAGTCAATATTGAACAAGTTATGGCTGTTTAAATTCAAATAAAACCGTTAACCCGTACCGGTCCAGCTTTTGACCCGTACCGGTCAAGTTTCGTTAGCTGCGTATACCAAGGGTGTTGATATAAGTATTGAAGATTTCGATGAAATTCCGAACCAAAAACTTTAAAGTATAACGGTTAAGTTACACATTTAAGATCATTAAGTGTAAAACAGAGTCAAATCTGATTCATTGGATCAAAATTCTGGAAGTGGACTTGAAAAATAACTTGAAAATTTCCCACCATAACAAAATGTTTATTTCTCTGTGAGTACTGAACCGAATTTAAAAAAATAAAAAGCAAAATGATCACAATCATAATATCTTACCTCCCCTTGCCTAGTTGAATCTGCAGGGTTACAGATAAGGGCAGTTCCATTAATCACAACGGCGATGTCCTCAACAAAAACTCCTTCCGGATGCCGCTCATCTGGAGGAAGCTCTAGTACGTCCAGTTGCATATTTCTGAGGGTTTCCACGAGGTCATAATGTTTTTTTCTAGCTTCTGTAAGATCTAAATTCTCTCCTTTACACCTAGTTGTGAAAGAATCTGGGATTCTTGAGACTACAGCGAAATTGTATTTGAAGGCAGACATTTTTAACTCGGAAACGGCTTGATAACGAGGAAATGACCTACTTTCAATTACTGCTAGCGACATCTTTATATGAGAAAATTTATATTTGGTTGTAATTGCTGGCGTGAAGAGCGGACTACCGAATTATAACTAGCCTCTTTACGAGGAATCGGAACAGATAGAGGTCCTGAAAGGGATTTTGATCACTGGGCTGATGAAAACGATATACAAACGCACTCGACTACTTCTTCAAATGACTTCATTTATGCTTAAATTCTTGTAAAATACCCTTGCAGCAAGGATGGCTCTCCATGAAATAGACTGTTTTTTTATATCATGGAGACGCATCCCCAAGGGATACAGGGGCGGATCTGGGAAGCAATAAAGGGGGGGGGGGGGCAAATATCAGATGGGAGAAAAACTTCGGGGCCCCTAAAACCGAAAAGTGGGCCCAAATTTTGAGGCCCATTTTCTTCAAAATTTGGCCTGAAATTAAAAAATAAGACCTTAGAAGGTCCAGTAATGACCAAAAACGCACAATTTTTTTCTGGGCCCCACCCTGGGGATCCGCCCCCCCCCAGATCCGCCAGTGGGATGCTCCTGCATATCATGTAATACAGAGTGTCCAAGATAAAGTCTCTTACTGTGACAAAATAATTCATTGACAACCTGAAGTGTACTAAATTGTATCATGGAAACCCGGACATAGATTGGAAATCGCCACATTTATCTCTGTTTGCCACTAAACATCAAGTTTGAATTTGAAAACTGAATAAACTTAAACGGATGTCGGCTCCTTCACATTTTGCGGCCATAACTTCAAATCGGATAAAATTTAGGCGACTTGTAAGCTAAGCTTTAGACGCTGATACATATTTGGCACCCAATGGCCAATATCCATCTCGGCCTGGTGCGACATAATTGATTAAATATGGGGTTCATATACTTTGAGGAGGGCGCAATAAATCGGTAATTGGACGTTTTGGTTATTTGATACAATGATCTTCTCTGGCTACATTCCCAGTTGCCAGTTCCGGCCAATTGCCAAGTAATATTTAAAAAAATTTACGCAGACAAAACATGCTACCCACTTATTTTGGATTTACTTTTTCAATAATTAAGGAAACTTCATAATTTTTTATGTGTAGATAGAGTGTCCGATGGGAGAAATATTGGTGTATTTGTATGCACTAGCATCTTTGCGATTTATAGATATCACAAATGATCCGTCCAGGTTAGCTCTCCATCTCAGGATTTCGATTGTTCCTACCTGGAAAGCGACGATGTATGCTCTCAACAAAATGTTCAAAAAATACAATTTTCTCAAATTAGGATTTCTGTCTTAGCCATTATTTGAGCCATTTGGATTGTTTTCACATAGTAGCCGGGACAGAACAAACCCCAAGTCTGTATATTTACTACCCTGCGCCAGAATCTAGTTATAAACTACTAAAAAAGACGAAGCTCTCTTTTAAGAAGTGAAGTCGAACGAATGCAAAGGGTATACACAAATGGTCCAAAAATGCGGCAAAATAATGGTTTGTGACTCCACAAGCTTTGCCAATTCACTACTTGCCACAATGTGACAATCAATGAATGCATTTCTCAGACGAGGATGATTATAGACACCATATTGTATGTTTAAATAACTTTTTTTTATTAATTACTTCAAAATGTTGCATTTGTCGCACAAAATGCCAACTTCTGATTATAGACCAATCAGAATCAGATGTTTCCCTTTATTTAACAAATATATTATACAGATTTACATTATAGACGCACGCCATCTTTGAACCCTCTGGTTTCCCCCTGTTAAATTAGTAATTGGACGTTTTGATTAGTTGATGCAGTGATCTGCTCCGTACACGTAAAAAGACATTCAAAACAAATATATGTTAAAATGTTTTTTTAAAATAACGGTGAGCATACTTTTTGATCATTCCGGTTGTAAATAACTTTGATAACTCGCATTAGGTTGTGAATTTCGTGAATTTGTTGACGTAACAGGACAACACGCCCCTAAAAACATGTCATATCTCAGTTATAAATGGTCGCGATCGCATCTTTAAATTGGTTCTATTGGCATAGAAAACATCTCCACCTATTACCGATTATTATGAACCCGATAGAGTAAGTGTAAAATTTATTCTTTGAAAAAATTATGGCTAAGACAGAAGTCCCATATTTTTGAACATTTTTTGACAATTTTGTCGAGAGGATATAAATACCTGGACGGAAAATGTGATATCTCTAAGTAACAAAGTTGTTGATGCTATACAAGTACAAGTATCTTTTCCATTGAACACCTTAGGTATTTAACAGGTCTTGTAGATCATTGTTGCTTGATTTATAGCAAAAAGATTGACATTTGCGCGCACTTTGGAGACGCTCGCGGAGCTGCGCCTTTTAAAAGATCTTATATCTTAGCCAATCGCTTAAAAAAATCCAAGTTCTGGCCAATTGCCAAGTAATATTTTAAATCTTTTTTATGCAGTGACACAAAAATGCCACCCACACGTTATTATGGAGGATTTCTTAATCATTGAGAAAGTTATTCCAAAATAGGATAGTTTCTAAATAGCAGAAAAAGCAAATAAATCTAGTGCTGCCATCTTTTATTCAGGTTTTAATTTGGGCTAGAGTTCCATTCACTTACATGCTAAAATCTTGGAAAAGTGGCTTAATTTCATGATTTATCAAAGAGTGTTAGTTGAATCTGTATAAAACTTGAATGATATACCACATGATGACTCTGTTTATGTACATTATGTGATTAAACATGCAAATGTTGGTTGACATACAAATAATCCAAGGTTTTAAAGAATTTTAGCATTGCATCTATGGAGATTTAGCCCAAGTTTTTTTAAATTGTCATAGAAAATTATTCAAATTACATAACTGTGTAAATCAAAGCTATTAAAGGAGAAGACATTTCACTGAATCATATATGCCATTTACAAGAAGGTAATGCAAGTCATTAGAGGTTTAATATGCAAATCTCTTAAAATCTCACGAAAGACGAGATTTAGCGAGATTTCAAAAGCTATATGGAAACTATACTATTAGTGGACTCGTGGACACAGACTCGTAAATTGGAAATATCAAGTTTTCATTAAGACTATGTCGGTTATTTTTAGAAGCCATTGCTTTTAGACTATCATAGGATATGTTAGTTAGAGACATATGTTAATCAAAGGCATATGAATTATGTATATATCATACAATTATCACTCATGTATGTGGCAAAAACCTTGAAAGGATTGGTATCGATATGATGAACTGAATTCAACAATGTTTTTCTCTTAAACCAATTATTGAAAACATTCTGTTAAAAAACAGGCTCCTTCATGTAATGTTGATTGACTGACAATTTAAATAAAAAATAATTTATATTAATAAACTTTGCTTTTAGTGCAATCGTTTTTTGTTCCTTTTTACCAATTGTTGAGAATGAAATAAAATATCTTTCCGAAGCTTGTTGGAACAAAATAGCATAATTATACAACATTTTCTTAGACCTCTCAATTTTATAGTTATACAAAGGAAAGGATGATTCTCGGTTTGGAGAACGAAGTTCATCACTCTAATTGAGCGCTATCCCTGCTTCGGACAAATTTGATTTTTTTACATAATATAGATTTGAATGTCTTCTTTTGAATAGACATAAATTAATTTGGGTAATATTTCTAGATTTTCCATAAAAAATTACTAGTGAACCACCCAACGTCGCTTCTATGATTCGTACCACTTTTTTAACTTGATGTATTGCATATTTTCGTGGGTCGATTTAAAAAAAAATACAAACGACGTATACATGAATATGTCATAAGCATATCGTGAGATAATTGTTAGATTAGGTTTGCTATAAGTGACTTTAAAACAAAAAAATAAAAAACATTAGTTCACGTGTTAAAGTTCCATTGACCGTGACATCAAGGAAAATTGAGCTTTTTGTCGTCAGACATCTTTATAGATGGAACTAGCTATGTACTACATTTTCAAATACACTCACATAGAACATATCTAAGATGTTCTTTTTATCGATGAAAAGATTCTTACATTCGGAAGTTACAAAAAAATAGCCGCCTGTTTTTAACATCCCTTTGTCACTCATCCCTTAATTATCTCTGTGTATCCATTCTGATACTCATAGCATCTTTCTGTTTCACCTGAAACATCTCAGGGCTGAGAAGAAATGAGATGTCATGGTTTATCATGATGCTGTGTATCTTATACTTGTGTGTGTTCGATTTTGATAGCACCCGAGTGCAACCTAAGGAGCACATACAATACATTTTGTGTATGCCCAGTCTGGTCTTATATCTGCCTGCTCTGAGGAATTTTGGTGGCGATTTTTTGATTTTTGTAATAGCCTACTACATAGCATCTCTTGTGCGCGTAAATCCCAATGTTTTGAAATAGAAAATAGAGACTCAATTCTATATCGATAGTTTCACAGATGAGGGTAGCGAATGGGCGCAGCTTTGACGATCAACGAATGATATAACGATATCACGGATTTCACCGAATGTTATATTCATCCCTAAATAGCTTATTTATTTAGTCTTAAGATCCTTGTGATGTTTCTATTCATTGCAGTGACTCTGAAATTGCTGTGCCAGATATGACGTCACAGCGACTCATTTTCCAACATTTAAGCATTTAACTAAATAATTGAAATATAATTATTAAAGAATGAGGACCTTGTGTTTCACTCTGGACGAAGGGGGCCATGTCTCAGCTAGTTGTGCATTAACGTTTGATACTCTTTGTGGATAAAAATAATGAATATATGTTAACGTAGCACTAAGCAGATACTTTTAAAGAATATAGTTACACTTAAAGAATAGGTCCAACGAATAGATATTGAATAAAGGACTCGTTTGATGAACGATCGTTGTAATAATTCTAATAAACCTATAGAAATGAATCAACGATTAAAGTGCTTATTCGGTAATTTCTGTTTATTTTTTCTCACTGCAGTAGATTAAACAGATATTGGTAAGTAAAAATAGTATTCCAACAGACTCTTAACTCATTCTATTTGTTCATTAGTGGCAAAATAAGATTTCCCGGGAAAAAAACATGACGTCACGAACAGAACCGGTTATGGATTTTTATCGGCAATGCGTTATGCAACTCGAATGTAAATTCAAAAGTGTTCATGTTATACCGTGTTCTGATTGGCCAGAAAGGAGTAACACTTACCGAAATCACCTCATGGTTCAATGCCTTTTGGTTACAAGATTTTAGACGCCTTATGTTAGGTAATACTATCAACTGAGCGTGTTTATTTTCTATATTGTGTTCTGACTGGCCAGAAAGTAATTCTGCATGACTAGCTATGTGAAAACGTA